TCTCAATCCACATGCAGGCCGTTTGCTGCCAGTATAGATTCTTGATTATTCTAATATCTTTCCCGAATATATCAAGGTTGCTGAGCAGTTCCAATAGATCTTTATGGAGTACTTTGTCGAAGGCTTTTGCCTAATCTATGGAACATGGGTACACGTCCTTCTGCATTTGTATTGCTCTTTCTGATAACGTTCTGGGCGTGAATACCCTGTTCCTTGTTCCTGTGTCTTTAACGAACCCACTGTTCTTGTCCTATCTCTGGTCTGATTCTTCTGTGCGCTCTATTCATCAGAATACGGATGATGAGCTTTGTGACGTGGCTCATTAGGCTGATTGTTTGGTGAAGCTCGCATTCTTTTGCGCCTGGTTTCTTAGGTAGGGCTATGAATATAGATCTGCTGAGATCTTCCGGTATGTCTCCACTGTTGTAGATTTCATTCATTATTTCTGTGATCTTGTCTATGCCAAATTCATCTAAGGCTGTCAACATTTTCGCTACAATTCCGTCTGGCCCTTCCACCTTGTTTCTGTTCAATTTGGCCAGTGCAGCTTCTTCTACTTCGGTTTTTAGAATTTCAGGTCAGTCGGTAGTTCTGTGTATTGCTTTTTGTTCCCTTTTGTTGTGGAAGCATTCGCCAGTCAGCTGTGAAGTATTTTTTCTTTCTCTAATATGAGTGTTCCGTCCTTTGATTTTAAGCAACCTGTTGACGAGCATGTCTTCTGTCATGTTGCCTTATTTGTTTGTGCATATCTCCTTTGTTGGTGGTTCTCAGTCTCTGAACTTCTGCACATTTTTTGTTTAGCCACTCTTTCTTAGCCTGTCTGCATTTGGTCCTTATTTCAATGTGTCATTTTCTGTATTCTGTGCCGCATCATGGCAGAGTTTTCTGTCTCCTTTCCATCATGTCGAGAATCCCCTTTGTCATCCATTTGTTTTTTTTTTCTTTCTCGCCCATTCTCCTTTGGGATGATATCGTTTGCTGATGTCACTAATTCGTCTCTTAGTGAGTCCCATTTCGAGTTTCCATTGTGTCCCTCGTATATTCTTTTGATACTGTTCGTATATTTTTTTTCTTTCAGGTACGGCTCGCTTAGGATGTTGTTGTATTGCAATTTTGGTGCTGCGTTAGGCTTCCTCAGTTTCCGTAGTTTCACTCTTACCTTAAATATAACGTGGATGTGCTCCTGCGTCGGCACTTGGGTAGGTTTCGCAATGAACGATTGCAAACTACAATCTTGTAAAAAGAAAAAAAACTGCTGTAAAATGTCTTCCCCAATTAAGAAGAGCCTAGTCAACATTGTCAAGAAAATGAGCCAACAAATGACAAGGAAACTTACAATTTTTTTTTTTTTTATCCAGATGTCAGTAACAGATTGTCATCTTGAGAGAATTGAATAGTTACAACAGGCCTGTCGTTCAATCATTGAAATTGCTGGGTTTACTGCTAGGAAAGTTGTCTCACTGTGTCGTATAAGGCAATTTTTCTCTCCAGAAACTATCTTCTATATTTATAAGTCTACCATTCGTCCATGCTTTGAATATTATTGTGAAATCTGGTTTAGTCCTCCTCCTATATATTCATAAAACCCAAGGAATCCACAATATTAATGATCCTGACCTGGCATCTTTGGCTTCAGTCACTTTCTTCTAGCAGCTCAGGGCCTTTTATATAACTGCTTTCATGGTAATTATTCTGATGAATTTTCTTCTATGGTACCTAGACTTGATTAATTTAAGCGCAATACTAGATTTACAATACGGTGTCATCAGTTTACAGTTGAATTCCCTAGATGTAGCCGTAAGTTCTATGCTAACAGTTTCTTCTCTCCCACTTCTCGCTTGTGGAGGTCTCTGTCGGCTTCATTCTTTCCAGCCAACTTTGATCTTCAAAAATCTAAATGCAATGTCAATCGTTGTCTAATACTTCTTGTTTCCTCTTCTTTTATTGTTCTCGATCCTTAATAATGCTTTCCTTGTTCTATCTAACTCCCTGTGTCTTAATGGCTTTACTATCTTGCTTGGGGTGAAATGAATAATAATAATAATAATAATAATAATAATAATAGATGTACACAAAGACATTTACAAAATATTGCAGTTCACATTTAAGTTTATGAATGTTAATTGAATATCGATATGAGTTTTCCTTCATTGATTTTATGATTTATTAATTTGTTTTTACGGATTCCCCACCACCACCACCAACTTCATGCATTATTTAAAGGCAAAACATAATTATTATTTTCTTGTGGGTGAATATTCCATTGAGAATGCTTGCGAATAACAATGATTTTTCCAGATACAAGTCCTACTATTTAGCCCATAAGTTTGGCGTGATCGATTTATAAATTTCAGGAGGACATTTTCGCGTAAGTGAATTGTAAGGTACCCACTCCGCTTTTACTTTAAGAAAAGTGAGGTGTGGTCTCAGTTCAGTTATGTGCCATGCGTGATACACGCTTAGGCGATCATGTATCTTTCGATACATGACTGACGATGCAGATTTTTTTTTCCCGCAATACGTTGCCATTTCTTTCTGCGGCAAACCTGTTGTCATCCAATGCTATAGAACCCGGTTTATCTTGCTATTTACCCATAGCTTGGGGACAGAAGAAGAGGATTTATACCTTTTGTTGGAGGGCACATGGGTTGAGTGTCAGGAAAAGGGAATAGATGTAGTTGTGGTTAGCGGTTTCAATCTGTAATCTTGCCCGTCTTGTGATAATCAACACAGATTAAATGAAGGATCTGTGTTTGGTTCTTATTCAACATTTACGCAGTATTCATGAAACAAAAAGAGAGGATGTGTGATCTAATGTTATTAAGATACAGGACATCATAGTTGAAATTAGTCTTTTTCTTGAATGCCTACGCATTTCTTGCAAATTTTTTTTTTTTTTTTTTTTGCACTTAAAAAGAAAAGTTATATTAATCAATAAACTATGGCATGTAGACGTAAATATATTCTTTTATTTCTTTCTTCATCTGATAAACGTAAACTTTTAAATAACGCAAGAAAACAATAACTCTCCCCGAAACAAAAAAAAATGAAATGTTCCTATGAATGGCACATCCGCAGAAAACAAAATATCGATTCTTTTTCCCTGAGGAACAGTAAAAAAAAATATTCAGCACATATTTTTTTATTGTTCTCAGTGTTAACTGAATGCTGCAGATATGATTATACGCTTATTTAATGTACGTCACCCGTGTCCATCCTTAGGTAAGTGACGTGTGGGATAAGACTTATCAACCAACAAAAACGCAATCTATGAAACAATTTCGGAAATTCAAATTGAAACTGCTTGTGTTAATTTCACATTATTTATTTCATATTAGGGTTCATGCAATGCAAGGCATGAGAGCCACTATTACTGAATGCAAAATAATTCGGTAGGAAGTTTAGTCAGTCAATTATGTGCCATGACGTTTACACTCTTAGGCGATCATGTATCTTTCGATACATGACTGACGAGGCAGATTTTTTTCTGCACTAGGTTAGTATTTCTTTCTGCGGTAGACCAGTTGCCATCCAAGTCTATAGAACCTGGTCTGTCCTGCTATTTACCCATATCTGGGGGGGGGGAGAAGAAGAGGATCCATACCTTTCCCAAGGGTATTAGCACGTAAGTGAATGTAATGGACTCAACTGAAATTCGAACTCCGCTCTCCGATTCCTCAATCTGAGATGCTATCCATTACTCCACAGTGCCCCCTCTAGTGCCCTTGAAAATAGTAAGAATCTTTCTTTTCCCCTTCCCCACCAGCTATGGATTAAATAGCAGGGCAGACCGAAATTCTAGCCTTGGTGACAACCAGTCTAAAAGAATGAAAACGTTGAAAACAGACTAGCCACAAATGTACACGATTGACAAATGTAACCTAATCTACATAGCAATACAGCGCCATCTACAGTAAACTTTCTTTAAACTTAATAACTCAAAAACGAAGTATTTGCGGGTATATGTTTATGTGGACTTTTGTCCTTGTTTTGGTGTGAGGAACCCGCTCCCAAAGTTTATAAAAATATTTTTGATACACCCCGTATATCAGTCAGTTATGTACCATGCGTGATACACGCTTAGATGATCTTTTATCGTTCGATACATGACTGACGAGGCAGATATTTTTTTCCACAGTAGGTTGCCATTTCTTCCAAGGCTATAGAACCTGTTCTGTCCTTCTATTTATTCATAGCTAGTGGGGAGGAGAGGATATATACTTTTTCCAAGAGTATTAGCACGTAAGAGAAGGTAATGGATTCGACTGGAATTCGAACTCGGCTCTCCGATTCCTCAATCCGAGCCGCTATCTATTACTCCACCGTGCCTTCTCCCTAAGACTGATGAAGAGGATAAATATCGATTGACTCTTGACTTGAAGAGGTTAAATTTGCAGTGTTAAGGGAAGCATCCACGAGGGAGTCTAATTCAGAAAGTAAACAGTTCTTGAGAAAGAAGCTGTCTGAGTGGAACTTTCTCATTGCAGTTGGAATTGGCAGAAATGACGGTGATGGCTTGTCTTAGCTACAGAGTGGACAATTCTACTTAGTTGGATTATGAAGGAAATTAGATTGATTTGACACTATGGACGAAGTATGGTTAATCTTAACTCAACTAGCGGAACATTTCCTATGAAAATACCAGTTGGGTACCCATAGGTGGGAGATGTTGCGTCTTTGGAGAAGCGGGTGCAGAGTGGAAAATAAATCTTCCTTCGCAAGACCACGTAAAGGATTCTGAAATGTATCAACACTGAAAGGTAAGGATTGGGCATCTCGTGCCCAGATATAACAGCAATACTCGCTTATTTTCCCACTGAAAGCAATACTCCATCAGGAAAGGCACAAAATCGAGTCTCCCTGTAATCAGTCCTATTGCCAGTCTTTGATGATAGATAAACGAATGAGTAATCTACTCTCTCGTAACTGTCTTACTTGACCACGCTTCTATATCTGTTTTCACTCATGACAAAAAACAGTTTAAATTCTTGCTTCAAACTATGATTTTTAACTTCTTTCTCTCACTCTTTCTTTCTTTCTTTCTTTCTTTCTTTCTTTCTTCGACCTTTATTTTTCTCTTCAACTCTCCCTTTCTCTTTTTCTCTTCTCTACCGGTTTTTTTTAACATTTCTATTTTACCTACTTCTCTTTCCGTACATTTCTCTCAATTTCTCTCTATTGCTTCTCTTTGTTCTCTCACTCTTTCTCTACTTTCTCTCTTTCCCCCTGTGTACGTTCTCTCTTTTTAAATCAATCCCTCTCTCTACTTCCTCTCTTTCTCTCTGTGTAATCCCTGTGTTTTTCTCTCTCTATTTCCGCTCTTTTTTTCTCAGTCTCTCTGCATTTCTCTCTGCATTTCTCTCTCTGTATTTCTCTCTCTGTATTCCATCTTTTCTCTCTCTGTACTTCTTTCTATCTCTTTTCTCTCTTAGCTATTCATTCCAGAACTGTCTTTATTGCTCTAAGCCTTTCCTTCCTTCTACTTCTATCTTTTTATCGTTCTCCCTCCCCACTCTCTACATATCTATCTCCCTATTTCTTTATATTGTCACTCTCTTTCTCTTTTTTCTTCTCATTCTATTTCTCTCGTCACGTCCTCCCTTTCTCATTAAATTTCCTTTCTTTCTTTCTTTCTTTCTTTCTTTCTTTCTTTCTTTCTTTCTTTCTTTCTTTGCACTTCCTCTTCTTAGCTGTAGCACACTCTCAACCTTTCTTCTCTCCCAATTATTTATTCCAGACCTGTATCCTTATTTCTTTTCTCCACCCCCTCCTCCTCCTCCTTCTTCTTCTTCTTCTTCTTCTTCTTCTTCTTCTTCTTCTTCTTGTTCTTCTTCTTCTTCTTCTTCTCACCAATCACTCTTCTTGTCATTCACTCTCTCTATCTCACACGATCTCTCACTGACTCACTCTCTCTCTCTAACTTTCTGCTTTTTTCTTTCTCTTTTTATTCTTTCTACTTCTCTTCCGCCTTCCATTTTCGAAATACCTTCCCCTCTCGCTCCATTTTGCACTGTGTATCTCTCGTATAGACCCCTTTGATTTTTCTATTACCCGCGCATTTTTTGCTTCTGTCGTTCTCATGGAAAATATTATGTATTTTGCTTATCATTTTTAGTTAAAAAAAAAAAAAGAAATTATTATTCTTTGCTGACTCATCCATAAATAATGCAGCCATCAAAAATCATGTTTCGCCAACACTGCGCATGCGCCGTGGTCACTTTATTTATTTGTTTGTTTATTTATTCATCTGAATGCTTGTAAATAAATGCAGCCAAACGGAGACCAGGCTTCTCACCTCCAACAAATTTTCTTTACTTCTTCGAATTTCTCTGTCGTCCCCCCGCCTCACACTTCTCTATTAGTTTTTATTATTATTATTATTATTATTATTATTATAGCATTTTTCTTTTCCTTCTTTTTTCCCCCATTCCCAAGAATCTTCATTTTTCTCATTAATGTTTTTTATCTTTCTATTCTACACTTCTTTTTCTTCCGCCAACTCTCTCTCTCTCTCTCTCTCTCTCTCTCTCTCTCTCTCTCTCTCTCTCTCTCTCTCTGGTTTTCTATTTCTATATTTCTCTCTCTCTCTCTCTCTCTCTCTGGTTTTCTATTTCTATATTTATCTCTTTCTCTCTCTCTCTCTCTCTCTCTCTCTCTCTCTCCTCTCCCTCTCTGGTTTTCTATTTCTATATTGCTCTCTTTCTCTCTCTCTCTCTCTCTCTCTCGCTGTTATTTTCTATCTCTATCGCTCTCTTTCTTTTCTTTATTCTTTTAAAAGTTCTTCGTCTTCTTTCCTTTCTCTTTCGCTCAGAGCAGAATCTATCTCCTTACTGATAAAAATAGATGAAGTGAAGAGTAGGAAGGGGGGAAACAGTTCACGTTGGAGTCATTTTAATTAACCCCTTTCCTGCTGAAATACGATTCATAATTACAGAGGTCACTTCCGTTATTCGTTTTATCCAAGAGCGAAAGAAAAAGCAGCAGCAACAGCAACCAACAGTAACGAATAGAAGAAATAAAACATCACCTAGACTACTGAAAGCGCTCGCTTTAATGACAAGAACTGCATATACTAGGACATACATACCCATAAATAAACACGCGCAAAGATACACACACACACACACACACACACACACAAATAGATAGATAGATAGATAGATAGATAGATAGATAGATAGATAGATAGATAGATATACGATAAAAAATATAGTTCTAAAGTAAGCTGTATTTGGGTGTACACATGCTCAATACCAGGGATAAAGCATGTGTAAATATAAGAGTGTAAAGCTAGTGGGGAGGGTCAATTGAAGTCTACATACTTTTTTAACCAGCCTCATTTGAACTTAAGAAGAATTTTTTGTATGTATACAACGGTTCATGACTTCGGATCTCTGGTTCAAAATATTTTGGGGATCCGGAAATAACACTATTGCCAATTTTTCCTGTTGGCAGAGGTTACAAATGTTATTGTGGTTGTTGTAAGGCTTTTTTAAAAAAACTTCTCCATCTTAATTTGTTAGAGCTTCTAAGACTTACTAGCTTAAGTGACGACCTATTATTGTACCATCTTCGTTTGACAAAACATTCACTACATCCTATGTACGCTTCATTTTGACCATTAATATCTATTACTTCTACTTCATAGATTATTGCTCCATCTAATGGACACCTCTTCTCATCTCTACAGTTGCATAAATTTTAATGTTAACTTTTCCATCTGAATTTGCTAGAGCTTCTAAGACTTACTAACTTAAATGACGACCTATGACTGTACCATCATCGTTTAATAGAACCGTCAGTACATCCTATGTACGCTTTATTCTGACCACTAATATCTATAACTTCTGCTTCATATATTATTGCTCCATCTAATGGACATCTATTCTTATTTCTACATTTACATAAATTACAATGTTAATTATATTTTGCTGCACGTTAGTTTTGAAATTTCTGGACTTTTGTCTATTTATTGTTTCCAAATTATTAGTACAGCTGTAGCTTAATTTAACTGTGCTTTTATTAAATATCTTATGTAATTCTGAATTTTTTTGAAAGTGTTTAGCAAGTAATTAGAAAAAGAACTCCCCTATTTTACATTTTACGTCTAAGTTAAAAAGAGGCTATAACCAAATGATGTTTTTGTTCCTCATTTAAGGTTTAAATTCTAGCTTATTTTTGAGACCTTCAAACTTTTAAGTTCTTCTCATATTCTTTATTTGTATTCTCAAAACTTATTTTACTAGAAGAGTTCTTGGATAACCTAGACTCTATTCCTTTAGGAGTGTTCTCTATTATGTTTGCATATTAGTTTGATCTAATATTCACGTATTTTAATTTTGCGTTGGGTTTCATTGATGGGGAGGTATTGCCAGCCTGTAGATTTAATTCTACGACCAGATAGTTAAAAGCTTTTTATTCTTTTCGCATTTTTTTCCAAGCCGATGCTTTTAAAGAGCTTGAAAAGCGCTTTTCTTATATTGTCATTTGTTTATCTGTTGTCTGGCACTATCGTCAGACCGTCATCTCTATACAGACCACGATTGTTTATATGTACAATCTTTCTTAATTTCATACAAGATATGTAGGCCTATTAACACCGAAACAATGCCATAAAACGGATCTTGTGGTACATTCTAGCTGTCTTTTTTTTTTCTTAACCAATTTTATTCATTGTCGAATACGATTGTAAATTTTTTTCTGTTTGATCAGGTGTTATCTTTACGAAGCCTTTGGCGATGTCTAAAGCCTCCAGCGGACCTTTTTCGGGTATAGATGGATAAAAGTTTTTAATATCATATTTTCTAAATACATATTTGTTTTTATTTTTAATTTTGTGGAACTAAGAAATGCACTCACTACGCACACACACACACACACACACACACACACACAGATATATATATATTTTATAGGAAAATCAGTATTCTGGACACAGTTTGTGTGTGTGCGTGTGTGTGTGAGAGAGAGACAGACAGACATTAGGAGAGAGAGTTTATGTGTAACGGACAGAGAGAGAAGGGTATATGAAAGAGAGGGAAACAGTGTGTAAGTGTGTAAGTGAGGGTGTGTGCGTATAGGTGTATGATGGAGTGAGATTGCATGTGTGAGTGTCATGGAAAGAGTGAGAGTACGTGAGTGTGTGTAGGTATGGAGAGAAAGAGAGAATGTGTCTGTATGTAAGAGAAAGAGAGAGGGAGTTTATGTGAGTGAGAGAAAGAGTATGTGTGTAGGTGTGTGAAACAGAGATAGCGATAGAGGAGTTTCGAGAGGAGAATGTGTGTAGGTATGGAAGAGAGCGGGAGTGTGTGTGTGTGTGTGTGTGTGTGTGTGTGTGTGTTAGAGAAAGAGTGTGTTTGTCTGTGAGAGGGAGATGGGGTGTGTATGTGTAAGAGAGAAGAGAGGTGTATGCGTGTAGGTGTGTGAAACAGAGATAGAGAGAGAGAGTTTATGTTTGTAAGAGAGAGAGAGTGAGTTTGTGTGTGTGTGTGTGTGTGTGTGTGTGTGTGTGTGTGTGTGTGTGTGTGTGTGTGTTTGCATATGTCTGTGTAGGTATGTGAGAGAAAGGGAGTGTGTCTGTGTAAAAGAGAGTGGGTGTGTGTGTGTGTGTGTGTGTGTGTAGGTATGTGAGAGAAAGGGAGTGTGTCTGTGTAAAAGAGAGTGGGAGTGTGTGTGCGTGTGTGTGTGTGTGTGTGTGTGAGAGAGAGAGGGAGAGCTAATGAAGGCAAAAAGTAAACCCCCAAACCAAAACAATAACCTATAAAATTATAAAAACACATTTTTATAGTAAAAAGACCAGCAATACATTTTCATATAAAGAAGATTACCAACAATAGGTATTTATCGAAAAATTTCTAACAATACCTCTTTATCTGTAGTTGAAGGCATACGAATGCGTTCAAAATATTCAGATTTTGGCATTAAATAACCCACCCAGGTTGATATGCCGCTAAACAAAATCAACTGAACCAAACTTTTTACCCATTAAAAATATTACCAACAATACATATTTATAGTAAAATTCTAACAAAGCTTTGCACAAGCTTTAGAATCTCCAACTCAGTAATCCTCAAAAAGAGTTCCATGAGCTTATTCGTATGAATAAAATTTTGACCTCAACAAAACAAAAACGGAAAATGGCATTCTTTATCAAAGAATCCAAAGATAGATAAACAGATAAACTTCACTTCCAAACTTATGTGAATATTCTAAAAAAAGAAATAAGTGACAAATAAAGTTAAAATCACAGAGAATCCGTTACCAAAAAACATAAAACAACAGCTAAGGAACTCGGCTCAAATAAAAACGTTACCATTAGAGTTGCTGATAAAACTAATATTTTTATCTTAAACAAGAATATCTATAATTCCAACATAAAACTATCCTCGTTGACATAAACAAATGTATAGAACTGCAAAAAAGTAACATCTATCTTAAAAAAACATATAAAACATCATCACTGTTAACAATGTAGAAATAGTATCTATGAAACTGAAAAAAAATAGTGTAAATTACAAACATAGCTACTGATATCCTCTTCCTTCTCTCTCCTTCTTAGTGTAATTCTCTATGTGTATAGTATTTCTACAGGCTCACCACAGGTAGTGTTGTTCCTATGGTTTCTGTAGCAGATAGATTTTTATGTGGTGAAGTTGCTAGCTTCGCGCCTAACTAGTTTTGAACTCACCGTTGTTTTATTCCTAAACTGTTTGCCAACCAATGCTAGAGAAACCCAAACTATGCTGTTTAATTCATACCATTCGCAGGTGTTTTTATACAAAAGCGAACTCAACAATCTTGGTCTGAATTCGAACTCCCCGCGCCATTTCTACTTTTTGTGCTAATAAGCACTACGCTACGCGAGCATCCATGATGTGCTCTACTTATATGGTAAGGTATTTATATGGTTAAGTATTTATATGATAAGTTACTTATATGGTAAGGTACTTATATAGTGAGGTAAAATTACATAAACATTATTTTCTTTGTTTTCTTTCCTTTATAATTTTTTTTAATTATCTCACGCTCAGTAGCCCTTT